GCGGATGAATATGTGAGGCACCTGAGATCCTGCCATGCCAAGCCTGGCGCAGTGGATGCTTTTACTGAGGCTGTGAGGTTTGGCATACATGTGGTTGGGATTGGCTGTGATGGGGACCCTGACAAGATTTTCAGCCCGTGGGCCGTGGGCCTCAGGGGGTTCATGCAATCCAAGAAGCCAGAGCGAGTTGCTGCGAAAGTCCTTTCTGTTGAGCANNATGGAGCTGGATGTGAAAGACCGGTACGCGTGCGGTGCCTTCTTATTTTGCATTTACAGCCGCAGCCGAATAAGTGATGTCAAGTGCGTGCACTCCTTTGTCATCGACACTGTGGTTTCAGGATCTAGTGTCCAAGGATTCCTTGAGTGTGGGACTCGATCCCATAAACTGCCAGGCAAGCTGCAGTACAGGGTGTGTCTATGCCGTTGGTTGCGCCAGTGAATGGTGTGACTGAAAATGCTTGGGGGCCCCGCTTTGTGGCTGTTGCGCTGGCAGCAGGGTTGCCGCTTACCAGTGAGCGACAAGGTCCGCTCCTTCCAGCGCCTCGTGATGCAGGTGATTGGGGAGAGCGAGCTGTTACTTCTGACGAGGCTGGAAACTGGCTTGGAGCTCTGCTCAGCCGAGGGCACAGGTGCACTGATGGAGTAACCGGTCACTCGCTTAAGTCTACAACACTTGATTGGTGTGGAAAGTACGGATTNNNNCATGCCCTGAAAGGGGCGACGATGTACGCTTACATGCGAGATAAACTTGCTGCGCCTTTGAGGTCCTACGAGGGAGTGCCTGTGGAGCAGGGGAAGGCCGCCGCCTCGAGTCAAGATCATTGGAGCTTGGTTCGGCCAGGGAATTCAAGCCCATTGACTGATAGGGACTCTGGGCCAGTGAGGGCTGATGCTCCTCCTCCTGAGGAGTCTGATTCGGAAGGCAAGTAATACCAAGCGGCTGCACTTACGCCTGAAGCAGCTGCCGAGGAGTTCCTGTCGTCGCTGCCCGGGGATTTTGAAGAGGCGCTTAATGATTTTTCAAGCCACCCGAGCGAGGCGGCTCCGGGCTCGTCTTCATCGTCGTCCAGTGAGTCGAGCACGTCAGGGAGTGAGGACGGGCCTGATTGGAGCGATGCGTTCCAAGGTAGCCTGGGGTCTGGAGTTCAGAAGGCCCCAGTCGGGGGTCCTGATTTCGATTTTTGGCGGCACGACCGGACTTTAACTATCCATTCCATTGCCGCTGGGTCCACGGGTGAGACGTTCACTTGTGGGCGCAAGAAGACGCTTGATTATTCCAAGGTAGCGCAAAGTGCTTTCTTGGAAACAAGGTTATGCTCCAACTGCCGCAAGAGCAAGCCAGTTAGGGACGTGGGCGCCTTGAATGCCATTTTGAGCAAGAATCTCAAGCGCTGAATTTTGGATGTGCCGGATGTGCGGCCCGGGGTCGGTCCACGAAGTGTGGTT